ATAGTATAGTATATAGTATATATATATATATATATATATATATATATATCCCTCCAGTAGAATCCCATCTAGGATTAATTTTAGGATCCCAAATTATATATATCTATATATAGCATGGATTTCTATCTAAAAAAGAGTTTATGTTCCTCGATACATGACGCATAACACACAATAACCAAACATAACAAGTCAAAGCCCTTCCCATAGGCTTCTCATACTATTGGCATTCTTGTTATGGGACTTCTCTGCCAAGGATAAATGACCCACACCACTTCTCTCTGGAAAAGACACCTCCTTCCAGTACCCGGATTGTCTCTCCACCCTCTTTCTGATCCCCCACTCTCAAGCAAAGGTCCCTGCTAAAATCTCACAATAAATTTCCAATTCCTCTTCATCCTAAATGAATTCCTCACTGTCTCCATCTTACAGGTACTTGATTACATTGACAAAGAAAATTCCTCCTACAATCCTCCTCCATATCTACACACCTCCTTTTGATATGCAGAATTCAAAAGCCTCTCCAGAAAGCATGCCAAAATATGGTTGTCACGGATGCAAGCAAATGTCACAATCATCATCAAATAACTTCAATGAATAGTAAAGGGAGTACTTTTACAAAACATGAAAAAAGTACTCAATTTTTCTTCTTTTCCAATTATGTGCATGGATGCATATATCCTTTTTTTTTTAATATTGACCATCACATAGATTGTAGACATATGGCCATCATGGTGCATGCAAATAGAGACGTGAATCAGAAAAAAGAAAGGGAAAGACGGTAAGAAAGCATGAAAGAAAAGAAGGCATGAAGGGGGAAACAAGAGAGCTACAGATAGGTATAGCTGGAATATGTCTCGTTCCCTATTTGGCCAGGTATATCATTTCTTTCTATAGACACGGCGGAATGTACACCCAATGGAATGACTCAGTACAAGAATATCCTCCGCAATCTTTACCAACCACCACCTCTCTAAACGCCCAAAAATGCTCATTAATAGAGTCAATCTCTACTACAAAGGGTCCCAAAAATGAAACCTCCCAAAGTATTCAAGAGAGCAAGTACCTACGTAATATGGGAATCCTGAAGCCTGATAAGCCCTGAGAAGGATCTCCAAATGCTCCCCAACTTTTCCCAGAGTAGCTCTTCGATGCCTGCAGGGCCAGGATTCACCAAAGAACAACCAAAATTGAGCTTAATATTCCCAGCTGGGGTGGGAAGGAGAAAAGGCTATGAAGTATAAACACAATGCAGTCATGCCCGAGTCCTCATCTCCCAGTTGCAGGCAAGACCAAGGCCCATGAGATACATCTTTGCTTTTCTCATAAAAAATAGTGCAGTGGGTCCTGCATCCCAAGAATATCCTCACATTCTGCTCCTTCCATAGTCCCCAAAGGATCACCAGAAGGCACAACCTCCATAGACTACAACCCTGTAAAAAAATATAGTGTAGTGTCCCCTTAGCACCCGAGCACTGGTAGCAAATGCCAGGAAATTGATGCCAATGGCTATCGAAATTATTGCTTGCTAGGGCTTTGCCCATAGTACATAAATGTGTATCATATACACAAACTAAAAACACATAAACATAAATGGACATCTGAAGGCAGCATATGCATGTGTTTGTGTCTGAGCACATGTACACAAATGTATATCTCTCTCTCCCACTTTCTCTCTTACTGTGTGGTGTGTCTATATATATTTAATTGGTTGGATACTCAAATACTCACTTGTAATTGGCTAGACTAAGTACTACCTATCCAAACTCATCTAATTTGACTTGGAACTCTGCGAGCTAACTTCGACAAGCCGCATGACAAAGTTGAGTTTGACTTTTTGAGTTTTTTCAAATGTAATTGCATATGTGCGCATGTGCATTAATGCATATACATACATCCATACATAGCATAAGCCAAAATTTTCAACTTGAATCTACACAGACATGCATGCAGACACAACTATATGGAAATGTACTACATGGTCCCAAGGGACCAAACTGTAACTATGGTCCCTTCCAAAACCGTAGCTATGGATCCTCCTTAAATCCATCAAATTTGATGGGGCAAAGGATCCAAAAAAGCTTAAAATCAATCTCTTCAACCCCAAAAATACTCATTATCATCATCAAAGCTTTTTTCCAATTAATTAGGGTCGTGAATCTTGGTCCGCCATTCTGCTCTATTAAAGGCCATACCCTTAGTGAGGCCATAAGTCGCCATATCCCCATATTTGTTCTCACTATTTCCATCCATGTCCTTTTGGGCATATTCCTTGCTCTTTTTTAACCTTCCACTTTTGGGCCAACCCCTTGCCCATTTTAAGTCTTCTCAAAAGAGATATGATTTGAAGATTCAAAATGCTCCAAATCCAGCACCAATCCAAATGAAATTAGGTCTGTTCCTTCAAATGGATGGTGCATTTGGTTACTTCAAAGCTTATTTTGAGCTCAAAATAAATTGGGAGTGACCTATTTCAAGGCTTTTTGGATTGGCAGACTTGGGGGAGGGATCATGGCTACAGTTTGGTCCCTTGAACTATAAAACACTCTTCACATGTGTATGTGTGTCTGTGGATAAGTTAATCTAATGTGTGAATGCAGCAGACGCCAAGATATGTAAATATAATTATGTATGCCTACACCATGAAGACATATATGCAAAAACACATGTATACATGTACACACAACGTGCACAAATACACAGTCACACAAAAGGATGCATTAGGCACAATACACATAAATACAATTTAGACATTGAAGTCACAAAAAGCTACTTTCATGTAAAAATGTAACAGAGGACAACAGAATAGAAGCTATGCATGATTGAGTAAAAACATATGAACCAGGCATGTATATAATACAACAAAAAAGGGAAATGCAGACATGACACTAACTAGTTCATTAAATTGACTGTACAAATGCATCATCCAAATAGCTGGTAGTGTTGCAGGCATTGGCTTGGCCTCCTAAGAATTAATATGATCATTCAACTCCCTATGAAAAAAAAACCTTGAAAAACCTCGCGGCATTACAGCTCCAACGAAACAACCAACAAGCACAAAACAAAATCAATTCAGAAGAAAAAAAAAAGGACGAAATTCCTTTGAAGAAAAAAATCAAGCTGTTGAAGCTGGCCAGCTAGCAAACTATTTATTTGAAGAATGGAAATATAATAGGAAGAACGAGAGCAAAATGCAAGGAAAGAAACAATCAGATCAAAATCAGATATATATGCACTAATTATATACCAGATTATCATCATATACTGAAATATGCAAGAATCAAATATATGTCATATATACACATACACACATATGTACATACAAACAATTATTTAAAGAAAAAGGAGATGCATGCACAAATTCTCAGATTATGTAAAATTGGGACAGATGCCGCGATTCACATGGGGGACAATTCATATAAATATTCTCAACATGCCAACCAGATTGCATTTTTTCTTTTCTTTTCCTTTTTTTAACATCTCACAGGCAAAAAACTGCCTGAAAGACCATCTAACTAACCAAGGAACTTGAAGGCATAATTAACCAGGACATCAAGTTTGTCAAACACCAAGCATCAAGACATCCTGGTAAAAACAAGAACTAAAATCGAATTAAGCATAATTAGAACTGAAAACAACTTTAAATTTCTATTTAAAACGGGCTTATCACTCTCTTTCTCAAAATTCGAACCAAGCAAATGAGATAATTTTTTCTTTTCGTTAAATAGACCTTTTTCTCTTTCAATAAATATCCAATGAGATGATATTTCCTTTTTCTCAATTGATATGTAATTTATAATTACAACAAAGATGCAACTAGCCGAATACTAAGAAGAAACCAAACCGACAGAAGGTAGTGATGCAGGGTCAAGTTCCCAACATTCTCCTGGCAAATAGGGGTCCTCAGTGCCTGATAGCGTTCTAGCAGGAACCTGATGAGAAAATTGCCTAACTTCATCTTTCTCAATCAATCTAACAGCATGAGCACCCGTCTCACTCCTCTTGAACACTGCCTTAAAGCCTTTAACTCTCTCAAGGTATGCCACACTTATCCCATAATCCTCAGAAAAACTAGTAAGAGACACAACAATATCATATGCCCTCTGGCTCTCACCACGTAAATGATCTTCCTTCCTTGAATCCAAATCACGATAAAGTGCCCAAATAGAACCCTGCATAGGATAAATCCTGTAAATCTCCCTCATTGCCCTCTCACCACTTATAAGGTGAGAAAAAACATTCACTGATTCAATGGTCGCCTTTCTCACAGTTCTAAACAAACCGCAAGCAGTATGATATCCTGATTTTTCCCAGAGAATTAGGGATAGATCTCCATTAATTTCTATGTCAAGCCAGCTTATTTGTACCACGAAGGGATCTATACTTGTAACTTCTTCAATTAAAGCATAATGACGAGGCATCCCATCATCATCATCATAGACTGCCCATATCTGAGATTTTTTGAAGCATTCTTCCATTCTATCATTATCGAAGTCATAGAAATCGGAATCCCCAACTGTCATCAACATACAATCTGAAGATATTATGGCCCCTGTAGACCTCTTTGCATTAGAAAGTGGCTGTTCTGATCGTTTGGTCACTGGTAAATTAGTGGGTTTCTCACTTATTTCATGGACCCTCTTTCTTTTCACTTTCGGGTTTATGCTCTCCTCAGAAACACGAGTTCTCAAGAATTCAGCAAGGTTCTCATCCAATTCCCCTGACCCAACATTTCGATCACTGGGTTTCGCATTCATCTTTCTAACCACGGTTCTTGAAGGGCGTAAGCTTTTTCTTGCACGTCTCTTTCCAACCCCATTTCCTGCTAGACCTGAGCTTGTTTTTGCACTTCTCTCACTAGCCCCATCTCTCAACACACCAGAACTCAAAGATTTCCCATCCGAACAATAAGTTCTCTTACCAGACAATTCCTCAACCCTATTGGAACCCAATTTTCTCTTACCATTTTCTCTCTGTACCCCCAATTCCTCGTTTTTCTTCTTCTCACTACCTAATTCACTATCTTTATCAGTCTTTGTATTTACTTCCACAGCTAAGAAACTCTTCTTACAAAATGGACATGTTAACATGTGACCCACATATTTGCGATCGAATTCATGGAACACTCGGCAAGTAGTACAAGCAGTCCAGAAAGACTCAACTTTCTTGATGGGTTCTACGGATTCAACCTGAAACTCTAAAGAAATCCTTCTTTTCAAATCATAAGCTTGTTTCCTAAGTTTATCAGAAAGAATGGACCATGCTTTTCCCACAAGTTTGAACGCATCTTCGGAGCCCACGCATTTGTTCTTATCAGGATGAAGAATCAAAGCAAGCTTTTTGTATTGTTTTCTAATGGTGTTGATGTGAGAGAAGGGCTCTACCTGGAGAATGGCGTACCAGTCTGGATCACCATCTAGGGTTTCATGAGCAGCACAGTGAGCTTGGAAGGTGGCCACCATTTGAGAGATTCCATGGAGCTTGGGATGGAGGTTTTGCGCTCTTTTCGCATATTTTAGGGCAGATTTGAATTTAGATAGAGAGAATTTCTTCTCTGCGTACTCTTTCAGGCGAAGGGATTCTTCGACATGGGTTTCTTTCATGGCGAAAAGGGAGGAGAAGAAAAAAAAGTATTTGGGGTTTGCAAGAGGCGATGATAGAGAGGGATAAAGGGACTATTTGGGGGCGGAGAATGTCTGGTTCGGAGTTAGATATATTAGAGAAGCAAGGGAGAGAGAGAGAGAGAAGCAAGAGTGAGAGAGAGAAAGAGAGAGAACCAAGAGTGAGAGAGAGAGAGAGAGGAACAAACAATGGCTGTGTACCTCGTAGAGAGAAGGGCAGGAGAGACGAGGATTGAGCCCAGGGTAGAGAGAGAGACGACTGATTCTGGCATAGACTGGAAAGAGAGAGAATCTGGTATAAACTAGAGAGAGAGAGAAAGAGATGGGGCGCGGCAAATGGGGCATGGGGGAATTATAAAGCAAAAGCATATATAACGAACACCACAACTATTGCTTGGATATCCAGCCGTCGTTTTCTGATAATGAACGGTGAAGAGTTTCCAGAATTTCGAACTAAAACCAGGTGAAGCTTTTCATTAATATCTTCCGTTCGTTGTCATTGACGAACGGTAGATGATTTATTATTGTAATATAAACCATTAAGCAAGTACACTATGGTCCCACAGGAGCATAATGTAGATCTACTCCCTTGGCTAATAGATCCACTTGAGAGTTTTGTTTTTCTTAAAAAAAAAAAATTTAAAATTTTGAGAATTACGTAGGAATAACTAGATGATTATTTCAAAAGGAAAATTTTGATTTTTGACTAGATGATTATTTCAAAAGAAAAATTTTGATTTTTGAGTTTATTATGCTTAGATCTCATCCTTCAAAAATTAGACAGTCTTTGTCCAATCTTGAAACATTTTTTTCTTTAAGGGTATGGAGAGAGAAATTGATAAATTTTTTTATTGAGGTTAATTTATGAGTTAAGAGGTTACCTCCCCAAAAATTATGGAGTAAAGGATAGTGCACTCATGTTGGAAGTTTGAAATATTTTGTCTAAACC